AAACAAATGAAGCCGCAACTGAAACGACTGAAAGTGCATCGCAGTGTAGCTGACAAATTCTGTATTGCAGAACTCCCAATGCTTTTCTATGGAAAATAATTTTTAATTAATTTATTAATTTTCAAAATATTCCATTTTACTATTTCCTCTCCATAAAAATAAAATTTGCAATTTTTTAACAAAAAGTATTTAAAAGAGTTAAGCTGAAGCCACTTCACTAATAGTTGTGAAGACTTAGTCCATTGGTAAACTTCGGTTCTTACGTGCAAAATTTGTGATAAACTCCCAACACAAATGCGGCTTCATGAAAAGCAAAATTAAGAGTTCACACTTTATCGGATCTTTGTGCAGTTTAAGTATCTGCACTGCTTTGTCACGTTCGACAATGGCTTGGACGCAAAAAATTAATTGTGCACGATACGAGCGCGTAAAAGAAAACTTCAACCGCAGCTGCTTTCTGCATCATAGCCGTTCAGCCCACCACGTTGTTTTCCTATTTTACACTTTCTCCAAATGCGAAAAACGTTTTCAATTTCCATTTCAACGCCATGAATGATCCGTGCAAATAAGAGTTGCATTTTCATCAGTTTTCCTAGAATTTTGGTTTCAATATTTTCTTCACTATTCCAACTTGCAAACCATGCAAGCATTTGCGCTTGCATTTTCGTCTACATTGAGAGTTAATAGAGGAGGATAGCAGCAAATACTGAATCTACTAGTTATTAAAATTAATTCAATCAATTTTTTTCAATCAAAACTTTTAGCTGATCTATTATTATTAATTAGGGAATTAGCACAGCGACCAACACATCTACTGTCCACCCTTCATGAATTCATAGTATTTTTATAAGTCCAATTTTCTGAAGTTATTGTTGTAATAAGCCTACCTTACCGAGCCTTATTTGTTTATCCGATATAAGATGCCCACCTATGTATTTCTTTTGTTCCAGCACATTTTTCGCTATCCTATTGTTTCCCATAATATTTTCCCTACACAACTTACAAGTCTTGTTAGGGTAAGTTCTCCATTTTGTGGAGAACTGAATAAGCAATGATAAGTATGATAAAATGGGTCCACATTTTGATAACATTTATTGTCTCTTCGGTTATAGATAATTAATTTGTAAAATTCATAGTTATGCCAAAGTTTGACTAAATCTCAAGTCAAAATATTCTTACTCGACGCATCATGTTGGTACAACCATACCACATGTTGGTTTTAATTTCTTCCTTATCACATGAGCTAAAATTTTGCTAACACAGTCCATCAGGTCAATTTAACTCATATTATTTTATTATTGTTTATTATTGATTCAAAGAAACTCATATAGCACTTACAAAAATTATAGAATTGTACTTAAAATTAAATTGACAATAACTTATTTGGTGTATGTCAGATTGGCATACAAAAAAACGGTGCATATTATTAACATTAATATTCATATGAATTTTTCAATAATTACTCTTGTCTAACTTAAAATACTTTTCATAAATTTATACAGGTTATAAGTATTGCTACCATTTAGCAAAAGTATAACTTCTTCATCAAAAAAAAATGGTTTATCAAAAAAAAAAAAAAAAATACGTCTATGTTCTCTGAAAATCGAACATACACCAATAATATGACATATATTTTCTATTTCATGATGATTACACAAAAAACAATCACTTTCAGATATATTAAATTCTCTGCCGATCAGTTTAAAAAGACCGCCTTTACATTTAAAAAGTAGACTCGATATGTCGCATTTGCCACAAAGGAATCGTGGTCACTCTGTTTGTATAAAGTTATGACATTATTGTGTAATAACTTAAGTTCCATACTCTGTAAACTGGTTATTGAAAAACCCAGTTCTAAAAATATATTTTTTCAATCTTTGACCCAATATATTCAATTGTTAATGGTAAGTTCAGCTAATATTCGAGAAAGCCTTGTGGAGAGGAGATTAAGAATTTATCTTACATATCGTATTAGTTTGTGTCTACAAACTGCGTTGGTAAACCCGTTTCTAAGTGGAGCATAAAATTTGGGGTTATTAGTGGGCAGTATTTTAAGAAATTGAACTGCATTCTATATTCCCATTTAGAATAATATAAATGAGTTTATCGCCTCTTTGAAGTCTATGGGGGAAAATAACATAGAATAACTAAGATAATTATGAAAAAGTAAGAACTATTTTTCGTTTTTTATACAATACAATAAACAGCCGAAGAATATCTGCTGACCAGCCAAAGCAATAAACTATCCAACTATCATATTTTACTAACAAATAAATATTGAGAAATTATATTCTTCCATTTAAATTATTTCACTACATTTTTGTACTCTATGTAGTTGTGTATTATCATATATATAAAATAAGATCCATATAAACGGATCTTACTATACTTTTACATAAATTTTGATATTACATTTATGATAGTTCCATCTTAATGTTAATAATTATATATTCTATTAATGATAGTAAATAGTTCTATCGCGGATAGGTATAATTAGGTCTTTAATTAATATACAGAACGTTTTTGGCAGAATGCTTTGGGCGCAAGGTAGTCGTCGGTGGACTAATGCCCTAATTGCTTGTTTATAAATTTTATATGGTCTTAAAATATTGTCCTAATCGTTCAAGTAACTACAATTTCTAAAGGAACAATATCAATATTTTTTAATCTTCTTAAATATCAATATTCCAATCTATGTTTTTGCATGTAACGTGGAAAATACACCAGTCGTAGAGCAATAGTGTTCCCGCCACGATGTGCATAAGCAGAAAATCGAATTTCAGTTCAATTTCCTTTAAAAAAGTTCAATAGCTTGTCAATTTTATTGCTTTTCAGATGAGTCAGTAAACATTTTATGTTTGCTCTACTTTCGGACAACACCTGAACATATTCCAAAATACAATTTTGAGTCATTCAGTATCTTTGCTTTTATATAAACAAATTTTTATTGCCTATTAATCATGAATGAACCTGGCACCCATATACGTATTTTCACAACAAATTAGAGAGATTTGCATTAGTAATTCGCTATTTATTAGGACGAAAATCAAACGAAAATTTAGAACAACACGGATTGAATGTGTAAATAAACAAATCGGGTTCGGATTTGGTTTCTTTTACATTCCGCAGAAATGAAAATCCCCAATTCAATATTTTTACATTTGAATGGAAAACAGTGAAAAACATTGAAAAGCATTTGAAAACATTGAAAAACAAAATTTTAATAAGACAATAAATGCAACAAAAATTAAAAAACTCATAAAACAGTCAACAATTTTTATTGTTTTTTCGGGTATTGGAACAAACAATTACGAGAATTGGTTGAGTAAGAAGACAATAACACAAATATTTTTGTGGATTTCTCCAGCGCATTCACTAGTCTCTGTTTGCTTCTATGTTTTTATTACCAAAAGTTGATTTCAAACAGGCGATCATTTAAATATTTACTAGGTGCGCTATGGTGTATAGTATATTCGAATTAGTTTTTGTTTACATCTAGAATCAAATGTGATTCATAGGGATATCACCGGTTCGCAAATCGTATCAAATCGAACAATACAAATTTTAATTTACACCTTCGATTTGCATAAAATTTAATTGAACGCAATAATATGATATTTAAAAAAGTTTAAAAAAGATAAAAAAGTATCTATATACATAAGCATAAAATATTACATTGAAGCATTACTTAACACTTAACACTCACCCACAGTTTTGATCATTTGAAAATCGTCTAAATGATATTTTCTAGCACTTTTGGTTGTTTCAACACTTTCGCTTTCATCATCTGTTTCATTACCATCATCTTTATTTTTACTCTCCTCTGAATCTTCTGTCTGTTCTGATTTCTGATATAAAAAATAATTGATTATTAAATTTTATTATAAAGAAATTACTTCTCTTTTTTTTAAAATATTTTTTTTTTATAATTTGTTAGTTTATTATTCATATGCCGCTGGTAACACTAACCAGTAATTTTGGATCAGAGTTTTGGACTGTTGATCTCAAATTTACAATCATTTTTTGCATAACAGTTTTCGCTAAATTTTCGAGATATTGCGCAAAATCTCGATCTACTTGCGAGATTACTTTGGGTTAACTTAGGTTGGAGTAGCGGCCTTGTATACCAAGAATACTCACTTGAGCACAAATAACAGCCTGTTGTGGTACCACAGAAATAGCGTTGGTTCGTACATAGAATGGAAGGTCAGTATATGACCAACGCCAAAAAGGCAACAACTTCCCTTTTAAGTAAAAGTAAATCAACCTGACAATTCTATAAATCTGGCTAACTCCCTAATATTGCAGGATGGTAGCTCAGACAGATCGGTAAAACAAAGAGCACTAAGATTTTTGATCTTCTTTTAGTTTAAATGGATACTGACACATGAGATGAATCACAGTTTTCTCCTCGTTCTCAGAGTCACAACCGCGACAAGAATCATTATAGAGAAGACCTGGTCTCATAGCATGCCTCCCTATTACGCAGTGGCCTCTCAACTCCGGTTCTTTAGGTTTTCTTAAAATTTTAACCAACAAAATATCGTTGGCTATTAAATATGTAAATATAACTGCAAGAAATTTGATATGAAAACGATAGAAATTGTGTTAAAAAATCATCCACATCTAGTAAAAATAATCAAAAAATCTACTTTATTTTTAATTTTTTAAAATTTTTTAAGTTTTGGATTTCAATATATTTATACGATATTTAGCTATATACAATATTTAAGTGCGATAGAAAGATTTGATATTTTTAAATAATTCTGTAAGTCTTTTATGTCCAGATTTTTCTAGTCTCAGCTATTATATCTGTTGATTTGTATCAGATTTACAATGATTTATCTGATAATAAATATACATAAATTTTCTTATAAATATTTCTTGTAATATATTTACATTAAAATTATGAATTAATACCATTAATTTTTTTTTAAAACAATATATTGTGAGAAACAAGTAATTACCACACGGACTACAATTTTTGCCTAACTAACGTTTTAGATATAGATAGCATATATACTATAAAGCCCTTATAACTTATGCCAACATCAAAACAGTGAGGAAGAATATTCTTTGAAAAAAATTACTTAGAACTTAGAACTATGTAAGAACCCATTAAATATATCATCAGTTTTTATTTTATCAATATTTATCGGTAGCGTATAATGATTTTTGCGATATACGTATAATCTATATATATATGTATATATATATAAGTGTGTATATATAACAAAAATGAATTCTTTCTATTAACTAGAACTTTTTGTATTATCAGGTTATTATAAAATTATTATAAAATTAGGTTTTAAAAGTAAACACTACTTTTTTTATTAATTTCCCACTGATATGTGTTGATATGACTTTTATTCTACAATACCATCAATAATAAACCAACTCATTAAATCCGAAAATGCTTACACGTTTTATACAATCAATAAAATTAAATATATTATTATATTTTTGATTAAGGGCGATATAATTTTGCTCGGGTAATGCTCGAGTAAATTTAAATAACGACTACGAATCTATACTTCGAAGATATTGAACACCGTGACCTATGACCTATGAGATCATTAAATGTGAAGTTACTTACATATAACTTACTTACTTTTTGAGCATTAAAATTATAATTTCTTGATTCTAAACTTATAGAGAAGAAATTTTAGTCACTATCCAACTGATTCAAGCTATTTGGAACACATAGAACTATTCCAAATCTCTTCTTCGAAAAAACAATTGTACCTATTGAGCTGTGAGATCTATATTATTTGCTAAACTGCAACACTAACTCATATAATTCTTATTTCTTATATAGTGTGATACAGTTTTTCTCAACGTGAAATGCAGTACATGAACTCATTATATCGTAGGTTATTATGGTACACAAATAAATTGTATTCACCTACAAACTTTTAGTTATTTTTAAAAATTGAAAATTGTACAAGTATTTTCCTTCTAAAAATAGTATGAAATACATTCTATAAAATACATAATATTTTTTTAGTATAACTATTAAATATTAATAACATGCTCAAACCAAAACACAAATTGTTATTAATACTTACACTCTGTTCTTCTTCTGCTTCTTCACTGTAATCTGAGTCTAATGGATCTGATAACTCACTGGAACCAACGCTACTGCTGGCACTTATACTAGCACCATTCGTACTCCCGCGCTTTGGGGCTACCTTAAATGTAAATGTTGCCTCTGTAGATACTGAAGACATTTTGTCGTACTTTGAAACCTTTCCGGTGCTCTGTGCTATGCCATATGAACGGGAACAGCAGGTATCTGCAGACATGCCAAGAAAAGTGCCAGAAATAATCAGCACTTCTAAATGAGTACCAAATTGACTTTCTTAAGTATCTGTAAAAAAACTTAAGAAATTAAAAAAATTGTTTTTATGAAATTCTATTATTTAAGATAAATCACAATTAATTAAAATAAAATTAAAAAAATGTCATTGTCCACTTCTTGAACTAATAACTTGTATGCAGTATCAAGTCGGTGCAATCACAATAAGTAATTCGATTTGACCTCTTTCAGAGCAATGTATGATGAGATATCTCATTCGCATTTACACATGAATTGCTTGCATAAATTGATTAACTCGACAATACAAAACTAAATGAAATTGTTTAGCAAAAGGCGAAATGAATAGAGTGTTTTTCTGGTATTCGACGAATAATAAAACAGACAACAATAAAATGTTTTATGCGATTTCAGAAGATTGAACACAGCTGAGGAGAATACGTATAGTCTATTGTAAAAGGGAGTAATATAGGTTTTACAATAAAAAAAATTCCAACAAGGACATTCAATGTACAAGTATTACTTACAGTTTAAATTTAGTTAATACATAATCCCTTTGTGTAAGTGTATAAGTTTCTGTATAAATATTTGAAGCGTATTTCAGAAAAAACGAGCCCCTTGTCACTGTGGAATAATAGATGCAGTTTATTGACTATCTATTGGAAAAGAGGTCATGTCACTGAACGTTTGTGGAACATCACAGAAAGGCAATGCAGAGTGTAAAACTTAATTTGATACTAAAAAATCGATAAAAAATTAATAACAGCAATAGAAAATGTGCACGTTACTACACATTTTCATTTAAGACAACATTTGTTAGAATTTTTTATAATTAACACTTGACGAGGAATATTAAATGAAAGGACTTAATCGAAACTTTCGCCCAACTTCAATCGAGTCTAATTAAAATTTTCAACTGTCATCGTTTATAATAGTTTTGACCTTAAAAATCATTTTTCGAGAATTTTTTGTATTTACCTTATTTTATTATAAACATATTTCAGAAGTGTTAATATCACTGAATAAAATATTTGTGAGAATATTTTTGGTGGCACAAAAAGTTAGATAACCTATCAGTAAATACTTCTTATTCTCTCCAAAATACCATCCATATATATCCATTCATTCTCTCATAGTAAACAGATAATTAACAAATATATATCACATGCTATTGAAGTTACTGAGATAATAAATAAACAATAAATAATCGCGATAGATAGTTAACTTATTTGTTGATAATAGCAAGAAAAAAGATAAAATCCTTTCTGAGTTCAGTTCACTGAAAACTTCAAATTAGTATTGACAGATAAGAAACAATGACAATTGCTAGGGAATTAAAACTGATTGGAAAAATATATATATATTTATGAAATAAACGTACTTGATTGTAGTTTTATGTGTAATTATCTGTAATAATTATAATTAAAAAAAAATTTTTAATATCTACTATTTTTGCTATTTTTGTATTCAACACCTGAAAGAATTTTTAAAGAAAACAGAATCCAAATGCGGTAATGAAGTGGTTTCCCAGTACCTGAAATTATACACGCTATATCACAAAATTACAAACCAAAATCTTTCTTATATAAAGGTTTTTAAGATGTTTTTTGAGCCCCATGAGAACTATCGATATCACAAATATGATAACCAAAACCTTTCTTATAGGAAGGTTTTAAAGGTATTTTTTAAGCTGCATGAGAACTATCGATATCGGTAACTATGATTTGACAGATAAGAATGTTAAACCTGTTTGTTCGGTATGATTTGGCAATTAAACATGAATCGTGTAAAGCTAGAATAATACTTCTAAATTGTGGAAATTTACTTTGACAAAAAAAAAAAAATATGTTCGTAATGTTCATTGAACACTTCGTTCATTTTACGGTCAGCATAATTAACCTGGTTAACAAGCAATTCATGCAGTTATTGATCGATTTCGCACTAATTTTACTCTTCTCGATTCAAAATCATCAATAATTGACTATTTTTTGCAGTTTACACGCTATCGGCATCTTCGGCTCTTATTTCTTTTGAAATGAGAAGGGAGCTGCCATTATGGTGAAGGGCGAGCGCTATCGAACCATGCTGACTAAATTGTTGGCAACAATTTCTAAAAATTAATCAGTTCAACTATAACGACATTTGGTTCCATGATCGATTTTACAAATGTATAATAGTGTTTTTCATTTTTGAACCCTGCAAAACGATAATAATAACAAGATAACATTTCTATGTTAATAACAATATATGGTATATGAATTGGACACAAAGATCATCCGATTTATCACAAATTTTTTTTTGTGGGTGTTACGAAACGGATAATGTTTAGCGAATAATCCTCAAACTCTTAATGTTTTAAAGACGATCAATTTCTGCTGTGATTCTTGTCAGCTATATACGGACAAGTCAACGGAATTTACTACAAAAGGATTTACTTTTGTTAGATATTCCGTAGAGATATGTATCTTGAATGACACAAGTCAAAAAATATATTGAAACCAAACTTTGATCAAAGTCTCAGTCTCATTTGTCATATGCGACATTCATTATTTTAGAAAGAACATGTTTGGTATCCTTATTATTTACAAGTATTTGATTATTTGTTACTTAAAGAGTTCGAAACTATTAATCATTAGATATTGGTTAAACCGACAGTCTATTGTATTCTTTTCAAGAAATTATAATAGCACACAATAAATCCCATTCTAGTAATAAAGTTTTAAAAAAAAGTTAGCAACACCTTCTTAAACAGATATATATCTATTACTCATATATAATCCTATTCCTAATCCTATTATGCTATTGGCATGGCAGTTATGGACTAGGCGCCTCAACAAAAACCTAGCGTCAAATTGTTAAATTGTTGATGAAGAAATTGATGACGTCGGATATACATGGAATCCTATCCATGTATATCCTAACAACATGAAACAGAATACGATTTAGATCGATAGTAAAGGTTTTATAATCCAACAAGAGTTAAGGAGACAGTAAATAGATTTGATCTCACTACAAAATCTATAGACTATTCTCAACGATCTGATTATATGGAAAACTACTTAAAAATAGGAACCAGTAGAAAAATTACTAAGCTCCATATTTAAATAATTTTTTGAATATCATTGAAAATTATTAAAATTTTAAATTTTATTGTATATTACCAAATCTCAGCTGTTGGACTCACACCTTGAACATGTTTTTTTATATAATAAACACGTGATAAACATTTTTTTAGTGAATACATAAATATTTATATTATATATGTTTTTGTTCATATGAAAGAAAATAATAAAAACATATATTTTATTTATTAGATAAATGAAAAAACCACATTTAAATTCGATTCTCTTTTATCATTTTCTCGGAATTAAAAATAAAATATATAATCATATTTCGTTCATTTGTATCTTATAAATATAAAAGTATAAAAAAAAACGCCTATAAAATTAAACTGTGATAAACACAAATATTTTGCAAATATGTGCGATGAACTCTGAATTTGTCATAATAAAAAATTCTACCACACTTAACTTTTATTTCTGAGGTAAATTTTAATTTGAATACAATGTAAATAAATTTTTATTCATATACGGAAAAATAATAATAAAATATAATTCCAGAAGGCAATAAAATAAGACTGAAATCGTCGTATAAAAAAATTTCAAGAGACCTCACAAAAAAATAATTCTTCTGAAGATGTTTAAGTGATTGCAGAGAATTATTTATTAATCAAGACCCACTCTCACAAAACACTTTTCAAAATAGCTGTTGACGGTTAGTTAACACGTGTAAGCAATAGACAGACCTATTGCGTTTTATTTCTACCCAAAACTGTGTATTAGTGTTGATTCAAAACGGCACTATTCCGATTCAAGGATATATGTTTGTGGATTATGTTTGTTATGATTTGTGGGAACAATGTCTAGAGAAAGATACAATAAAAATAGATTTAGCAATGCATAGTTGCTCGAAACTAATGGCAAATGAGATATATTAACATATATATTTGTTATGAGAAAAATATTTGGAACTTTCGATTTTTGTTTGGTGGACTCTTCACCCGATAGATGTTTAAATGAATTACTTTAGAGAGCTGTAGGATTTTATATACTGATAACTGGAAAAAGTATAGTTCGTAATAAATTATTTGGTATAGAATGAAATATTTTTACTTATTCGGATAATTTATAAATGAATACTTATTGCAGTATAAAGAGCAATTTTTATTTTTACCAAAAATAAATACAATTTAAAATTTTTAGGTATTTTCATATATAAGCATTGTATGTAATTAGTTTCATTATGTATTTAAAATAAATTCATAATTTTTGCATTTTTGTGAAAAATAAAATGATTTATTAATCGCTTATAAAAAATGGATTTTTCATCCATTTGTACCAGCTTTGGCAAAACTTTGAAAAATTTTTCACATTCTTTTATTTCTAATAATTTTATTAAATTTCTACATTTTTTTAATTTAACTTAAAGAAAATAAATAAAATTGTTGAATGGTTTATGAATGATGTTTTGTTTATTTCATTAGTAAACATTTTGCATATTCAAAAATATTTTTTAAAAATTTATGATTATTTAAAATATTCAAAAATACATAAAATAAATTATGAACAGAAAAAAATCACTATATGGAAATTCCATAAACTTACCATCACTCAAAAACGAATCGATAATCTCTCATTGAAAGCATTTTCATTTCCGTTTTTTGTTTAAAAAATCTAATAAAAATAAATAAATGCCAAAATCGTAAACGATAACAATTCTTAAAAGCCAAAAATAAATAAAAATAATAAATAAATACAAGTAGAGAAAACTAATTTTGAACCACAAAACCCTCTTTGCGTAAGCAATTGGCAAAGGAGATGAAAATCGGGAATAAAATAGCCAAAATAAAAAAAAAACAAAAGAATTGATAATTGAAAGACTTGACTCTTTTGATGGATGAATTTCTGGACCAATACAAACTTTTCTAAGAAGAAAGTAGATACAGAAATATATTTTATTGACAAGAATTCAAAAGAAATTTTCCACTGTTGGAGAAAAGTCTTTATAATATTATGCTTTCTTTAGTACATAGTCTTTAGTATAAAGTCTGTTTACTTGCATATTAGACTTATACATTACATACAAATCATTGTATAGACAATAACAATTATATGTTATATAAAAACAATTTTAATAATTATAAATGAATGAACATATATATATACATATAAGTATTTGTATATATTAAAATTGCTCTTTACGATTGACTTTTTTCTGTAAATATATCACTTTTATCAGAATTTAAACTAAACTTTATCAGAATTTATGACTTTTCCTACAGGATACTGTAGACTCAATTACCACTTAAAGAATATAGGTGAGATAGAAAGTGATTCTTGTCGACTCTGTTATCTATGCAACTGCCCAGCGGCAGTAAGAAGTCGACTTGACTACCTTTGAAGGGGGATCTCGGTCCCATATCAAAAAGATTAAATCAAGCCCACAACAATTACGAGATTTATAAATGGTATAGAATTGTTTTAGTTCATTCTTTAGGCGCACAATAGATCCTTTAAGTCGGGGTACATTCATATTATTATTATATTTAATAAATATTATTATTATATTTAATAATAATAATAAAAATAATAATAATAATAATAATAATAATAATAATAATAATAATAATAATAATAATAATAATAATAATAATAATAATAAAAATGACTGATAAGTTCAGTGTTGTTAGAACTTCAACTGAATAAATTCAACAAATTTTCAGCATTCGTATATAAATTAATTATATTCTATTAAATTTCCATTAAATTAAATTCCATTGAAATAAAATTAAATATTCAGCATTCGTATATATATTAATTATATTCCAATAAATATGAAATTTTAAAAGTGATTTATAGAACTCTGAAATAAAAGGAGAAACGGGTAAACGCAGAAAATAAATTTCAGCACATTTCATTTCAACGTACTTTCCGTATATTCATCTGGTACCATATATATACGAGTACATAAATATGTTCATATAACAACCATATATAGGGAGATATACTGCAAATAATTCTGTGTTCAATATTACAACTAACTGTAAACTGTAGGGAACATCTTCTTTCATCAAGTTAGTTCAATAGCTCTTTAAAAAAGATTCTTCCAAATTTTGTCTAGTTCGTTTGCAAACTACGTAAGCCTACTTTAAAAGACCTGAGATGTCTTCGTCAATCCCTCACACTTTAGAACAGTGGCATATGTAAATTCGTTGAAGACTAGTGAAGGTAAAACAATATGGTATTGATTAAGTGTTTAATATGTAAAGTATACCAAACATAAGTTCGAAACCTTAGATTTAAAATATTGGTAATTAAATTAATTATATTAATGCACGAATTTTAACTAAGACCGTGTACGAGTTAATTGAAAGAAATAGTAAATTATGTCGGTATAGCAGAGAATATTGGTATTCACCAGAAATTCGAGTAGGGTCAATTATATAAAAATTAGGTTCACCATTTTGAAAATTTTATAAGATGTTTAATAAATAAATAAATAAATTTGAAAACTTTTAACCAAAAAAAAAAAAAATAAGTGCAATAAATAAATAAACAAACATTTACATAAGTGCAGTGCAAAAAATCCCTAGGAAATTTCAATTTACTCGAACTTGCACACGACCTACATAGTACTATATACATATATATTTTAAAATCCAGTAGAAAACATAAAAATTTCCTTTGCAATTCTTTTTCATTATTGTTCAAGTATTTTTCAATTAATTTTATATGTAAAAGACTAAGGTTTTACATATTTATAAATATATTTAAGCAAATAGTCATAGATGAGACTAATTTACCGAAACCATTCCTCTTCAAGTCTGACTTAACTATCATTTCACCTTCTCACCTTCTGTTTGAAACGAAGAGGTTAAGTATTTTAAATAAAAATTACGGAAAGTAATAATAAATTCAGAAGATAATATACAAATAAGATAATATACAAATAAAATTTAACAGAAAGTTATATTTTGGTAGTTATTAATAATGATGTTACTAAAAAAAATAAAGTTTTCAAATGTCGTTACTTATTCTCAAAGAACTGTGAAGTTGTTAAAACGGATTAAACCAACTTAAAAATTATTTTTAAGACAGTATAAATATAAATGTTGACTGTAAAAATAAGCAATAATTGAGGATTCACCTAATCACAAGTTTTATAAATACTTGGACTCCAATGAAGTCAGTACAGTAAAATCGAAGGCTTACTGACGTCAAAGCCATTTAAAGCACTCAGACTAATGGGTTTGTTTCTGTCATTCTTATGGCCTAAATTTAATCGTTCAATGCTCTGAATATTCAATTTTCTCACAAAATTTTTAATTTAAATTATTAATCACTGAAAGATAAAAATTTTAAGCAAAGTTTAACAAATATACAAGTATAAACATTTCATCAAATCTGATAAACAAAAATGCTGGCGTCAGAGGTGATTGTATATTAACATTATATATATGACTTCTTATCATAACTGCGAACTGAACATCTTCGTAATTGACTTAAGTCCCACGTCACTATTATAGAACTTTTTTTGGCTTCATTCAAAATTTCTACAAGATTTATATTGTACTTAGGAACATCTACCATATATAACCGTATTAATTAAAATTACCTATGTGTAAACCCGCACATTATTTTGATAAGTACAAATTGAATGTGTGGAATAATAATTGATTAATCTGAACTAAGATTAGCAATGCCAACTCATATTAAAAAAACACTTCTATCCTAGGAAGGCATATTTTTTAGGTCAAACGAAAACTTCATCATTCGAATTTATAGCCGAATTTATATCCAACCGAAATATATTCTTATAAAAATTTATCAAATTTTGATTGTTTATGATTCACACAGTTTATTATCTATTTGTAGTATGCAGAGCTATTAGACTCAAAGTGAAAATGGATGGATAGTATTTTTTTTAATACTAAAGAAGGTATTTTAACTTCGAGAGGTGATTGCTTGAGCAAGGACGAAAAAATTGAACAACAAAAAAATTAATATGTTCCGAGAAACTGAGATTCCCTGTTTTAAATGAAAAGACTTCTATTATTAAAGAACCTTTATTTAATGTATAAAATATATCTAACAAAAAATATTTACAATATAATAAAATACTGTTGTAAAATTGAACAAATTAAAAAAGATTACAAAAATTTTAATATAAATAGATTAGGTTAGGCGTAAGGACGAGTTCTCTAAAGACTTTATGTAGACTGCCTATAGATTAATTGTGTTACGCTAGGGCTCTTAATTTAAAATGTTCGCCTCCTAGCGATTTCTTTTGTAGAGTGTTAGTTATGATAGGTGTTTTTATGATTCGAGAGGTACCTGTATTATTTTCAGCAACTTCTTTTTCGGAGAATTTTGTGAAGATTTTGATATCTGTTTTTGACAGTTCTTTAGTGTCTTAGGTTTTCAATGAAAAATTATAACAAGATATTATTTACTTAAACTTTTAATAGTTCCTGCTAAAATATTTATATCTTTCTTAAAGTTTTTTATAAACGTCATTAGTTTTATTTAAATTTAAATAAATTAAATTAAAATCTGAATGATTTAAAATATTTTTGTAAATTCAATATTTCTATATACATTTTTTAAACCGATTATTTATACACCGATTATTTATATTTATGAAATTTTAAAATTTCAGCTATAAAAATGATGTAAATAACATTAAAAACATTAGAGAGCATATATATTTCAAATTATAATATGAATTCTAATATTTTAAAAAAAAATTATTGCGCTTGAGTTATACATATATGTATATATCTACAACTGTAGACTAAAGATAAGGGTCGAAATATGAATAAATTATGGACCAATAACCTAAAAATTATAGTATATATTTTATTTTACGTATTAAAGTAAGGTGTTACTTTTTTTTATATAACTTAGATGATCTGAATAATGTTAATTTCTGAGTAGAAAATATTTGCTTTTTTATTCTTAATAAACTTTACCAAATAAAAAAATTTTAGACAATTTGTTGCTAAAGTGACCAATTATCCAAGTACAATAGTAGAATAGCTACTTGGTGATATGGTAAAACACTTTACTCATATTCATTTACTTATCATTTAATCGTACATATGTTATGATCATTTTTCAATACACGAAATCAAAGGAAAATATGATGCCCTAGAGACACAATCATACCATATATTATTATTATAATTAATATATAATACAGTTAAACTTCCATAACTCGAAATAACATTTTGCAAAGAAAAAGTTCGATTTATGAAGACTTCTAGTTAAAAAATTTTTGGTAATTATATGTAATTTCCTCTCCAATCCCTGTACTTTATTTAGTTCGAGTTATATTCAAGTTATAGATATTCGAGTTATGGAAATTTGACTATATATATAGATTTAAGATTTCAGCACAGAAATACAATAACACAACACACAAAATCAGATGGGACTATTGTTTTGGAGGTAATTTGTTTCTGCTGAGTTGTCGTTTTTTATGATATGGTCTGTATCAATTATATCCAAGTAAAATCAGTTGGAATCGTAAACAAAGAGCACAAAGATTTTGCAAAAATTCTAGTTAAAGTTATGACAACTAAAATAATAATTAATAATAAAATTTCTTATAAAATTATTTTATTTCTTTTTGTACATTTTCTAAATAAAAAACTGTTTAATTGTTTAGTCTATATATTTATTTATGCATATATATTACTTAATATACATATATGTATGAACTTTATATATGTATGAAATATTTATTATTGTTATTAAAATTTGTATGAAATTAATTTTTCAAAATTTGTTGGAAAATATAATTGGTCGCTATCAATCGATATATATTTGCATTATATTAATTTATATACTTCCGAACTTACCAAAAATGTTTTTCCTATATTTATTGACTGTGGTTTTCGAGTTTCCCAAAGCAAAATTAACACTGGAATTATTTTTCCGCTTACGAAATTTTTATAAATAAACTTTTGAAAAATCAACTAAAAATAAAAGATACAGTCAGAAGTCTTCAGAATATAAAGACACAGCGGGCAAAATCAATTTCGAAAATCAAAAGAGTTTATCAGTATAAATTTATAATGCTTTATTCAAGAATCTATTATAATTAAAATTGCCATATGATTTCATATACAAAATAAAAAACCTAATTATATAAAATTATTTAAAGCCTTAATTATACAACGCCAGGTCATTTGGAAGTGAAAGAATTTTGAGCTCATATTACAAAATGCATAAATACACAATAATAAAATATAATGTATATAATAATAATATATATATATATAATATAAAATGAAAAAGATATTAGCAATTATTCTATGAAAGGATTGAACTCACAGGCGCGTAGGGGCAAATTCTACATATTTAAGGATTTTAATTTATAAAAAATTAAAGAAAAGTTTAATTTTGCTCTATATTTAGCTATTTAAGTTTTTTAAAATTTTTCAGTTATATCTAAAAAATATTGATTAGTTCATTTTGAGGTAACTATTTTGAAATCGATTTTACAAATTTATTTCAAACAATTTATCTTAAAATATATTTAAATGGCTGATATATGTTATAAATAATTGAGTCGTATATCAAGAATTGCGACTATATATATATATAAAGGCTTCAAATAATTTTAGATGTCTTCACTCCATTATTGTGAAAAAAAAAAAATTTGTTATAAATTTAAATTTAATAATTTTGCTTAAAAGCCTTTATCGTTTCTTACTGGTTTCTTTATTAATAATAATTATTAAAAAAAAGTTTTAGCGCGCATTTCTCATTTATTAATGTCTGCAAAATGGTTTCGATTTAATGAACTGATTTAAGATATAAACTGAATTTTTCACACACGATCAAACCGCAAATTTTGCAAAACCACAAACGCAGATTACTTTCGGTTTATTGAATGAAATGTTTTTAACTGTAATTAATTTTTCTTAAATTTTCTCGTATTTCTCTGTTTTCCTGCTCCGCTGTTCCGGCTTCAATTTTTCAAACTACGCGGTCCAACGTTTGATTGAAAACTGAATTGTGAACAAGAAGCCCAAGTCGCAGCAGCCACAACTTTTGTTGTGCGCTGTGTCGCTGCAATGTTGAAAGTTGGCTACCTTTTCTGTTTCTGTTGCCGCTGTCTGCTGCCGCTGTATTTGTTTTTATTTTTTCAATTTTTGAAATCTTGTGCGCTATCATTTCTGGAGCATACGTTCAGTTCTTCAGAAGAACTGGTGGTCGTTCCTCGTTGTATAGTATTTCAACAATAAAACCAGGTATGTTATAAAATCAGCACTTCGAGCACATAACATTTCTATACAAATAACAATTTTATATATGGAAAGTGTAACAAAGTATTTTCTTATCTATAACGACCAACAAAATTATATTAATATAATTAAAATAAATTAACTAATAAAAAAACGAAAAAAACTGTTTTGCATTAATTTCGTTATTATTTAAAAATATATTTATATCAAAATATTCATCATAACAATAAAATAACTGATGTGTTAAAAACTATTTGGAAAATCGATAGTATCTTAATAAATTCTTTTTTTTTTTTTTTTTTTT